ACATAAAGAAAAAAGAAAACACACATGTACACACTAACATATACATAAACAAGAACTGCTACACATCAAGCATGCTCACCCATGAGTGGGCAATGTCAGAAAAACTTACAGATGTATTTTTATTTTTCCCCCATGGTGCTGGTACACTGAAACAGCAGCATAACTAGAAAGCAGCATGTTTTCCTAGTTCTAACCACTACGGATAGCTGAGCTCAGGTCTAAAATAACACAGTACTGCTTATTTACAATTCTGTTTTAAAAGGGAATATTTAAAACATGTTCCCACCCCTCTCCCTTTGCATCACCTATTACTGAATGGTAGTGGTAATCCACATACAACTCCTTACATGTTTTCAACTGAAACAGTTTAACTTCTAGTTATTTGCCTGGTAATATGTAACTTAGGTACTAACCAAAAGAAATACAAGTGTCAAAGTAACCTACAGCTGTAGGTTAGCTTTAAACATTTCTAGGAGCACATGGAAAACTAAAAGGAATACAGATTGACACCTTCATTTGATTGTTCAATGTTTCTCTCTTTTTTTTTCCTTTTAAAAATGAACACTCACATATTCAAGTCTAAACTTTATAAGGTGTAAAAGAATCCAGAAAACACAGTACACTCCTCTGGTTTGAAACAGTAATAAAGCAGATATATAGCACATCATTATAACATGCATAAGAAGAAACTGGCCCAGCTTAACTTAGCTTTTCAATGAAAACAAATAAAATTGGTTTAGCTGTTTTGAAATTGGTTTAGCTGATTTGCCTACACCACACATATTTCTTTTTCGGTTTTACTTACTTCCTCCCCTCAAACATCATAAATTTCTGTCTACAAAGTACTTGAAGGTTTTTGTGGTAGTAGCAAGCTGTCAACATCCACCCAAAGAGATTCACATAAATTATCCAGGAAACTGGATAGAATGAGAAAAGATTCAACCAACAAGTTACCCTTCTACTCAGAGAGGGAGGGAAGGCAGCACGTTCCTTCCCTCCTGCACCAGGCTCTGGCTGCAGTGAGTGCCCACCTGGGCATGTTAAACCACAGTGAGAAAGCCACAGGCTGTTAAGTTTTCCAACACGTTTGGGATAAAAAAAACCAAACCAACAAACCCACAAAAAACCCCAACATTGATTTACATGTAAAGAGCTGATGTATAATCAAGATTCACAGATTACTGAACGAAAATAGCTATTGGACAAACTGCACTTCAATTTTGGAGAATTTTAAAAGTCTGAGAAATAGGGCTGAAAAAAGTCTCTTGTGTATACCAAAAAAACAAGCCATCATAGAAAACCAGTGAGCCACAGACTGTAGCTATTGAGAAAACTTTTACATTAGGCTAGTTTTCTGTCTTTCTGCTCCTTACTTAGGGAATTGTTTAAGAACGTTCAAAATGGGAGATTATTTTCTGCAAAGCAAAATGGGATATTTGTTTTCATTGCTTAGTAATTGTATCATCTCGATATGAGATATGAATGTATTCATAAGCTTAAAACAACTTCTATGGATAATATACATACTTTAAGTACTTTGACTTAAAACTTGAACATAAGTCTTTTTAAAATTAAAGGTAGAAGTGTACATATAAAAATTATTTAAAACTAAAAGTATATTCTTAAGCAGTATGTATAAATATAACAGATTTTATTGTATCATCTAGTAACAAATGTGAAAGTGTTGCAGTAATTTATAAACTGAATGCCGACACAGGATATGTGCCTTCCATTAGATTCTATATTGTATATACATATTTTGCTAAGAAAACACACATACTAAAGGAATCACATAATTAGCAAAGGTGCCTGAAAGTAATCTGTTCTAAAGTCTTTATTGAACATGTGTGTTTATATACAAATAATGAACCTGAACTGCACAAATGTCAAAACAAAATTAAGGAAATAAATACCATGACAGAATTAAAGTGCAGGAAAAATTCAAGTTTAAAAATTCAGGTAAGATCAGTGCCATTAATTAAGCAAAAAAAAAAAAAAAAACACACAAAAAAAACCCCAAGCACAAAACCCCCAAGCAAACAAAGATAAAATTCACCCCCCTCCCCTAAAAGAAAAAAAAAAAGAAAAAATATAAGAAAAGGAAAACAAAAAGGAAAAAAATCCAAAAATGCTTACTTCCAAAAATCCTCCTTTGGATGTAGCTTTCCAATATCACCTGCCACACAAGTACCACCTCAGGCACAAAAACTTTGCATAAAGACAGATAAGGAACACACCTATATAATACTACATTTTATAACTGACTCTTTGCTGAAGAACAAATCACTGGATATGCCTGTGGTGTAACACTTTCAGACTGATTTGCAACACACACATATTACACATACCAGGATTCAAAAGTTACGATTTGGCAGGACTGAGGTGAAGAAAAGCTTCTTCAGTTTACAGTTCCTAATGAGACACACCACATATAAACAGATAGGTAGCAGCAGTTTCTTACACTTGCATCAAAAAAAAAAAAAGTAATAGCTCAATTGTATTTAATAGTTTTCCAGACACTCTAAAAAATTTTCACACAACTAAAATGCTAGCCAAAAAACCAGGGGTGCTTCCCCACAAGGATTTCAAGATACTTTGCTGTACAAAAGGTGCACCACCATAGCAGAATAAGATGCAATGACATGTGTACGATCAACTTCCTTCCACAGGGAAGGGAAAAGGAATGCTATAGACTAAAATTGTACATAGCCCCTTTTTTTGACCAAGAACCATTTGTGTGTTCATCTCATGAACAATAATTTCATTGGTCTTCGTATCTAGATGCATGCTCTGAACATATGCAACTAAATAAATTATCATAGATTTTATAATACCAAATAAGCCACTACTCTTCTCATACTAGCAGATGGTCTCTCATTGCCTCTTATTTTTTTGCTTGCTGGTGGTTGTCAAATGTGTCTTGATGAGAAAGTTAAATATGCTTTCCTTTGAAGCCAAGGTTATCTTCCATTGGATGATACCATGATTTGTCGAAGAGTACTTTCACCATCCTCTCCCCCAGAGCCTGACCAGATTAAATTTCCAGGATTCTGTTGCCCTGAAATATGATTTATCTTCACCAGGTTATTTAATCATCAGTCATCTCAGTTTATAAATGTGAGCTAAGGAAGGAGCCAAGTGTCGGCTAGGTTGGTTTTTTTTTGGATGTGGTATGGATAATTGTTTATCCAGTTTTCTTCTACATGGATTTTTAACAAAATGGTGTTAACTTAAATATGCATTAATTAGACACTAAAAAAATAATTTCATCTGCAAAGGCAAATATTGCATGGCAAGCTGAGTTAAGCAACTGAAGTTAACAATGCCTCAGTAGGTATGGGACAGAGCCATGAAGAAATCATAATGCTGCTTATTCAAACTGTCATGTTCTCATTTCTTAAGTCTTTTGAAGAGCAGACACGGTATGGTGTGCACTCATACTGGCAACAGAATTCACCTGTCTTCTTCAATTAAATGTTCTTATACATAAAGTCAGAAAATTTATCAGGCTGTGCTACAAAGCCCAAACATATTTGCCTCCCCTTTGAAAAGTGAATTAAGAACCATCACTAACTTCAATATTTTACATCCTTCAGGTGTTTTGTAAGGTTGCCTTATCTGTGTACCCGCAACATCACTTGACAATAACCAAGGTTTTGCTTTGGGCACATTCAGAAAGTGTGTGAAAAAAGCACGCAAAATGCAATGGTTGGAGAAGCAAACCCAAATGATTAATTTTAGACAACGTAGACCTATCAGCTTCTAAGTACTCCCTTTTATAAAACAAAACCAGTCAGTAACTATTCCTGCTTTGAGGAAAAATGTCTAAATAAATTTTTGAAATGCAAGCACTTATTTTAAGGAATCCTCTTTTAAAAAGAGCTCTGGTCATTCCCACTGATACAGCTTTAGTGCAGTAGCCATTAACAAGTTAGCTCAGATGTATTATTTACCTCACCCAAACTGAACATTAGTTCACTATTTCCTAAAGTTTTTGTGCACACTTTCCCACTGCTTACATTGAAACCCCTGCTTTAGAGACTAAATCCAAACTTCAGGCCACCTGCCTTTATTGCTGGGTGGGGCTGAGACAGGTACTTGTAAAATAGCTCTACTAGCAGAATTTAGAGATTTGCTAAACAACATACCGACAATTTTTAAATATTAGATGTTTGCTTGCTAATATTCATGCATCAGCACCTCCATGGTGTGTAAAACTTTGAAAACCTGAGTCCAAGGTTATCTGATTTCATAGTAAAGGACTAAAAGGGCATTTAGAACTTAAGTTTTGAGCAAAATTATCTCAGCTGTTTCAATTAATGGCTGTAAAGATACATTCTATTAAACATTTATAAAAACTCACAGCATGAATGGAACCCACAGCCAATTCTAAATGTTACACAACCTGAACCAATAACTATTTTTGGCAAAAAAAAATTATTTAACTGAACAGAAGTTGAAATATTCTTACCACAATGAAGATGTTACCACATTTCACATTACACGGCCATAACACAAATGAAAACTCTCAGCATGACACATTCCAGTCATATTATTCACTTGACTTTTTTAATGCAAAAATTATGTATTTTTTTGTTTTGCACTTCACAGAATATGATGTGAATACAAGAATACTAGATCAGGGGTCCAAGAAAAGACTATGCACAGGTCAACTATGTATACAATTTGACAAGAAATCTTCCAAGCTTCCAGCTTTTCTGATGAAAGAAGTGACAGCAAACTTCAACTCTTCTTCAACAACAATGGTAAATATAGTGAGTCCTAGAGAGGGTAAGCCTAAGTCAGCTACTGCCCAGCAAGACAAACAACTTGATTCCAGCTCTTGGACCCCTGATTTATTGCCTCTCCTCACAGGAGGGTATAACACTGGCAGCAATTACAATAGCACAAAAACTTTTGGCATATGAAATATTAACACAGGATTGACCCTGCATTGCCCCTGCCCATCTCACACTATGTTTTCCTTTTACTCTCTTTTCCACATGTTCTAGTTACCTTCTCTACTCTAACTCTCTGCTAACCAACAGCTAAGAAACACTCAAGTTTGTTTTTTGTGTGTGTTTCTTAGATATAAAGCTCCTCAGTTAAAACCACGACTGAGGTAAAACAGTGTGTCATTTGTGCTAGGAAACAACAGTATCCAATGGTGAATACTCCTTTAAATTTCAGTGGTCCTGCCAAAATTAATGAAAAAAAAAGTTTTTTTCATCAGGACAAAATTAAACAGATGTAATTGATGAGCGTCATCAGAATTGGTACCACTTCTTGTCTTTGTACTTCATCATCATCTAAAAAAAACAAGGAACAATTTCTAATTACTGTTTCTATAATGGACCAAAATGCACAACACCACAAATCATACACTTACAATGTAGTGTGAGAAAGAGGGACTTTACTACAGCTTCTCAAAGCTACAACAACAACATTGCTGAAGAGTAAGGTTTATAGCATGATAAATTTTCTAATGGTAGCATCACTGCTGCTGACCTGGCCTCAGAAAAAGGCATTTTTGGGAGACTGGGATGGTTACACGGGAGTTCAGGGGACGGAAAAAAACCCACATGAAAATGAATGAGAACAGTTTTTCTAGATAGTTACTGAGGAATAAACCTAACTTGCATTCATGAGATTTGAATACAACAACTGGATCTTTCTTAAGGACCACAAGAATCTGACAGAGAATGTTACTCTTTTCCCATTCAGCAACCTTAATTTTTTAAGTAACAGTAAATGAGTCACGCTTTTAGAAGTTTACATTTCAACTCCAGCAGAGTGCATGCTCTAGATCAATGTGCCACAAGACAAAGCTGTTTACACTAGTACTTAATTATTAGGAGTAACAGTTGATAGATAAAAGGGAAATGTCCTTTATTAATGACACTGCATTCCCTTTAGATACCTCTAACATGCCTCTGCAGAACTCTCATTTACTTGACCATCAGTTTAATGTTCAGTTTAACATACCTCATGAGCATGTTTCGAGAAAGAATCAGCACTGTAAAGCATAGCTGCAGTTTTTTCGTCCAGTTCTCCTAGTCTCTGCCCTCTTTCATCCAGTGCCAACCGAGCTCGTGCGAGTTCACCAACTACACCAGATGCTGCTCCTTTGACACCTTCAATCCCCCCAGGTCCTGGAATATGCTGGGCAAGACTCCTTGATGCCTTCCCAGATGCTGATTCTCCAACTGGAGGCATTTGCAAAGCAGCAAAAACAGAAGAGTAAGGTTTTCTATCACTATTACATAAATATCAATCTAACTAGTTTATAAAGAGGTGTCATTTCTTTGCGTGGACACCAGACGCCTAATCCTAGGTATGACTATGAGCAACACTCTCTGCTCAATGTTATTAGATGTTACTAGTTAATAAAATTGAGATTTTCAAACATATTTCCAAGTTTCCACGCACCTTATAAAACTGTAACCTCTTCACAGCTCAAGTGTGAAACAAAAACTCTCAATAGCACTAGCATCACAGTCACCAACAGAACTGTGCTGGCCAAGAGTGTTTTTAACAATATAGCTTATTTCACATGAAATGTGTTACGAGTTCAGCAGACAAAGCAGGATCATTTAGAAAATACAACTTGTAGTAAGTTCTGGAAATGCTTTGCTGGTGTGTAAGCCAGCCAAATATGACTCCACCAGCAGAAGCTTCCTTTGATGGAAGCTCAATTTCAGATGCAGACACCTGAAAATTAGGTGTTTATGCTCTCATTACTGTTTAAAAAAAAAGTAATGTAACCATAAAAAGACACTATGGCTATAAGAACAAGTCAGCGCATCCTAAAGTAAACACTTGTGAATGGTCAACTGAACAGCTCCAAGACTCCAGTGCCCACACTGGGACATCAGTCCCATCTATGGACATGCCAAATCTCATGCTGAACTGTATACTCTACAAAAATGTAATTTTTTTAAACAATGAAATATGGTTTAACCATTTTCTCTTTTTCACCCCTAAAAAATAATATGATCTTGTTAAATAATTTTGTTGCAGTATTTCAAAATTTTCTGCTTTGATGTTATGCTTCTATTAAAAGCGATTTACATTTGCACTAATGCTATAAACATCTTTCTATGAATTCCACCCCCAAAAAAGAAATCATTTCACTTATTACAGATGCTGCTGTGACCCTCATGGTAAATATGGCTACTTTAAAGACATTTTCACATGTCTTTTGAATTTTCATTGAACTGGCTTTCAGGCTACAATTAATTAGGCTTTTTTTCCCCTCACTCAACACTATTTTCTTTCTGAAGATCTGAGCCAAAACTTAATAGTGGAAACTTTAAATGATATAAAGGGCTAGCTTCTAAAGTTACAAGCTCTTTTTCCCCTGTCCCAGCCATACTAATGAAACTACAATTTGTGCGTACAAATTTCTCTCATAGAATACCTAACCAACATTCCAAAGTATTACACATATATAAATACAAAACAGAAGTTTAACACAGAAAGTGACCTCTAAATGTTGGATATTGGTTCAAAATGTACAAGCACAAGTAACAAAGTCTAATTTAATTTTTATCGTAGAGATCAAAAGAACCAATATAAAAGAAAGGATTGCCAGGGAGCCTTGTCCACTTTAACAACTATGTTTCATGTTAAAAAGGAAACAGTTCTTACAAATCAACATGCATAGTATGGTGCTACATTTAGCAAATATGTGAATACGTGGAAGTTATTTCATTTAAAGTGCTGAATGCTACCACAGCAAAAAAAAAAAAAAAAAAAAAAAAAAAAGAGATCAAAACAATGAGAAAATGATAAAGCAATTAATATTTTGCCAAATCTGAATTTCACCAACCTAGAAACAGAGGACTGAATTGAATGATCATACAGTTCTGTCCTTGCCCTCATTCCTAAGGCATCTGCACAAGTAAAATGAGGAAAATCTAGCAAATTAACTGGAGAGGAGTTTGAATTTTCCTGCTGTTCAGAATAGCTTTCTCCAAAAAAGTCCCTTTACCAGCATTAATAAAACCATGGTCAGCACTACACACTTCATAAATATTAATAAAAATAAGAGTAGTTGTCCCTTTCTTGTTTTACAACCTACTCCTGAATAAACGAGGTAAAAGAGCCTGTGAAAAAGCCATACCAAGCTTTTCTGATCTTGCTTGTAAGGTGTACAACACACATAAACATTCTCTATTTTACTTTTTGCTTTGCACATGTAATGTTTATTAACACAGGTAATACAATTACCAAGGATCACTGGCTTCCTTGAGTGGAAATACCAGAAAAGTAACAAGTAATAAAAACTTACAGAGTTCTTCTCTGTCAAGTGACTGTGCCCCACCTCCAAAGAGGCCTTTAAAGAACCCCCTGTTTGGTGCTTCTGGTGTTTCTACAGGAGTGAAGAGCTCACCCAACATTTCCTTTGCAATGAAGAAGAGACATAACAAGGCATACATTAGTAAAATTAATGGAATATTCTTACACTTTAAGGACTTAGTGGATTTGATTTCAAAAGGAATATGCTGTAATGGGCATCTGCCTTTGCAAGGCAACTTAGGAAATAAAAACTAAACACTTACTAAGAACTCTGTCTAAACCATCTGTTCTGATGGCTGAAGCTTGTAGCAAAGAAATGTGTTCAAGTGAAGCTCTATTTGCCCCTCAACAACTCGGGCAAAACTCCTAATTCTGTTCTATTGAAACGATATCTACGAATACTCATATCCATGCAGCAGTACCCAAGTAGAGCTTACAGCCTGCATCCCTGCTATTTCACTATTATATACAACTACCAAGCTGAAGCATGACTGACAACCTTTTCAAGCTGTTAATACCCCTAAAACATAATAGCTTCTTTCAAGGATCTCGAGTTAGCATTCCCTGCTGGCGTCAGCACACACCTCCACCAGCATCAATTGAACAAGGGAATTTTAACTGCACGTTAAACAAGGAAATTTCATATCGAGCAAAAGGAAATTAAGAAACTGATTCAAATACAAGAGGATAGTAGGAGTGATTCATCCTGAATCAGACTCTAGACTGAAGGAAAAAGAAAGAGAAAAAAAAAAAATCAAAGCACAAGAGCCAAAGTGCTCAGCTTTATATCAATTACTGTGAGCATCGTGACTCTAGGAACCTCAGAATATATCTAAGAAAAAAGTAACTTTTTTAAAAAATTCTATTACCTGAAGATTTTCACATGTTTCTTGGCTGTAGGTGAGCCTCTGTATTTCAGTTGGTGAGACAAGATAGAGTGCTTGTCCATTATTAGTGAAGCAGAATGTTCTGGCTATCCGCATATTGGTGAGTGGCAGGTAATATACATCCAACAATGGCCTTAAACTTGGCAAACTTAAGGAAAAGAATTAAAAAAACCATATTAAATACAGCGGAAATGTCTATTTTTGATTAAATGGCCCATTTTTAAACTGCAATACATTTCCTCTTCACCATCTGCATGAGTACCATGTAAACAGGGTATCATTTAATACAATCACAATCTCAAAATACGAGGTTTTTCAAGGTAGCACCTCAGAAGTTAAGCTTAAACATCTGCATCACAGATGCATTTAAAAGCAATATTTAAATGCTACTCTGAGCATATAAATCACAAATTTAGTATTTAGTGAATTAGGCATTATTTAGTAATTACCAAAGTATTTTGACAAGTATATACCAAGACTTTACAATTAAACATCCTGTCTCTTCTCTCAGATGAAGAATTTCTCCTTGACTAAAAATACAGGTCTAAAAGATCTCTCCTCAAGAACACAAATATGCAGCAGTGTGCTTTCAAAGCAAAGTAGAACTCAGTATCCTCAATCTTATGAATTACATCCACTTTTGTTGTCTGACTAGGTATTTAAGAGAAAGTTCTCTTAGAGCAAAGTTTGCTTACCTTGTATTTTCTGATTCTGCACATGTAACTGCAGTACCTACTGCATCAATCTACTGAAGAACAGACACAGCACACTTGAGCTATAACAATGTTCCTGCTACGAAACATTCCTCTCCTCTCCCTCAAAGTAATAATAAATGCACGTAAGAAATGACAGAACATCTGATTTCTTGACAAGTGGAACCCAAAATAAACTGCTGTCTCAGAAACATCCTCCATGAAGTTTTTGTAAAATAATTTACACAAGTTGTTAGCTGCAAATGTCCCAACAACACATTAAGCAGCTTCTGCTGCAGACACAATCTGCATAAGGTCATTATTTCTAGAAACTAAAAAAGTAACAAAGGGGCATACTGAAGTCAAAACCAGAGAAAGATGTAATTACCACAACAGTAAGTGTCTAGATGCCTTTTTTTGGTTTGTTTTAGGTTGTTTGTTGGGGTGTTTTGGGTTTTTTTTGCGTGACACTGAGATTGCCTTTGGAGGCAAGTTTTACAAGTGAGAAATAAAAAGCAAAATTTCTCGTAAGCACATCATCCAGAAATGACATTTCTGCCATGCATATGTATCTAAAGTAAGAATATTTCTAAGGGAGAGCTCGTAACAGGGAAGTGTTTTGCTTCAGATGAATGGAAGCATAAAACATCCTCACAGCTTTGAAAAGCAAAAATGTTAGATCAAGTAGGACAACCTTGACATCCACGTGATAGAATTTTCATAGATTATGTTATGGATTTGTTTGTTACTAAGTACTATGTAAATTTATAACAGTAGATAAGTATTGAGCATCTTAGGCATGATATAGTGCTCTGACAACTTTACACAAACCGTATGTTAAGTCCACTTCCCAGCAACAATTCATGCTTTTGAAATGGAGCTAATCTTTGGAAGTCCAACTTCCCTGCACAATGTAACAACTCAGTATTTATCATTTAGTGCTTACCTCTTTGCAGAGTTCATTAGAAAACAACATGAATCCTGAAGACAGGATTTGTTTCAATATATGGTACCTGAACATTAAGTTCAGTTTTAATTAGGAAAAACAACAGTCTTTGCCTCGTGAGCTGAGCAGCATTTTGTGGAGATGCTTAGAATGTATGTTGGGATATACATCAGTGGAGGTAACAGACTTAGAATCAAAACTTATTTTTTACTTGTAATATGTATCAGCTTTAGTTTTACTCCTAACAACTTACTAAAGAAGTATCTTTTAGAGAATTTCCCAAGGTGAGAGTGTCTTTTGGCAGCCTTAAGAATAACCTTTTGGGAATTTTACTAGCATAATTTTATAATGCCATGTTCCACATTCATCTTAGATTAAGCCATGACTAAACTGCAGGTGCAAGGGTGTAAGTATATACACTCTGCTGTTCAGAATAAAATAGCATTTAGAGACATTTAAGAAATAGGACATGAAAATTACACAAATGACATGTAAGTATATTCAAACACTACTATTACACATTTAAACTCAGAACTAAACCCCCTACTTTAGATAACTTATTCCTACATAACTACTAGCAACTGATCTTGCCTTTATAGCCTGAGTTTAAGGCCTTTAAGACACAAGCAAGCTACAGAACAAAATAGTAAACCTGAGGCAGAGCGTGATACATACAGCTGCACAAAAATAGGCAGAGTTGTGGTCAGGTACAAGCTAAAGGTCTGACTCAAGTCAGTTTCTCCATCAGGGAATAAAATCACCTTTTAGACAAACTTCAACTCACGGACCTATATTCACACATTTGGAACTATATGTTGAATCAGGGTAGCTCAAGCTAAAGTGGTAAACTTTTTCATGTGTTTTAAAGGCAGAACTAATAGGAATGTGCAATCAAAATTAACAAGGCCCAAGTATTAGAGATTCATCAACACTGATTGAATGTAGGTTTTTGTTTAAAGTCATATTCTCATGGAAAACGAATCTTTCTATGCAGCAGAAGACTATTTTCCCTTTTTATATTTGAGTTACTATCAAATAGGTCTTACCTAAAAGTCATAATATGTCCATTGGCACAGAAACATGCAAGGCAGATACTGTTACTCAACGACACTATGTCTCCACGAAGAACAAAAGAAGTATCTGTTATATTTTGCTTATAAATACAGTTTTGGGATGGCAGTGAGATAACCTTTGCTTGCTTTTCTGAACATATCACTGCATATTGGTTTTCACTGATTTCCTGAGAGGAAGAAGGGGACACTGAGACAGGTCGTCGTTTTTTTGCTTTATCTTTTTCATCTTTTTCTTCAGGAACATTGTGTTCTCTCCAGGGTTCATGTGCTGGTGGGACCAAAGATCCGGTGGTATCCAAAAAAGCCATTCTCAAGATTGCCCCTTTTAGCCTCAGGATTGTTCCTAGGAAGAAGCAGTTGAGCACATTTCTAAAACAGTTCTAAATTGCATTTCAAGCTGCAAAATATTCCTTTAAGAAACTAGCAGAACGAAAAGAAAACAAGAACTTCGGCTTGCCTCTGTAGCAAACCAGATGTACCAAAACCTTTGGGCATTTATCTAAAACCAAATAAACATGCAAGAAAATATTTGACCAGTTTTCAAGGGTTAAGAGTATGCATACTCTCCTGTTAACTTAAATGGAAACCTATACGTTCATTAAGAGAGCCAGGCTGGCATGCACATTTGTATTCAATTTCAGTGTCACAAATGCAACTCATTCCATTCTCTCCTGAGGAGTACACAGTGTGCTTAATATCAACAATAAATGTTATCAGTCAAATGTGAGCACCACCTTTTTCTTCAACTGGTTCAGAAACAACATACGTTCTTTATTCCCCCCCTGCAGTTTACACTTGAATCCACTTCTCTAACATAAAATGAAAGTGGGAAAGTTTTCCCTCTTTACTGTTCAAATCATTGTCTCTGCAGGCCAGATCTTAAGTGAATAAATTTCTTATTTTTCTTACATTCACTCACACAAGTAAAAACATGCACATTTGCTAAGTACAAAAAATACCATACATGTAGCAATATCAAAATTTTAAGGATCCTGGTGCAGATGCAGTGATGAAACACACTGTGTAGCTGCAGCCTTGCCTTTAAGATCAAATGATACCAAATCTGAATACCACTGCCAATACCTTACTCAATAGGCACAACTCACATATATGGTGGTCTAGAGGCTACACCATTCCTAAACACTACTACAGTCAAACAGTACTGCAATTTGAGTCTCTGATACCATCTGTGTGAGCAAAATGGACTAGAGCAGCGTGTTCTGCATGAGATAGTGCTAGCAGGAAAGCTAAATCTATGCCTAATAGTGTATCCAGCAAACCATTAATACACAATTACAACAAAATCAGTTGCTATGGATCAAGGAAACAAGATACAAGATCTTTCACAGCAATCCAGAGGAATATTTTGTCGCTAATATTTCAAGCTAGTTGTTCAATATACAGCTTTAATTTGTATTCCTTTTTCTTGAGACAGGAAAACAGAAAGGTTCTCACCCCGTGACTAGAAAGCCAATAATAATTACTCATCTCTTCTACTCTGTATCACAATTGCTAACATGTTTTTTTCCGTAAGTATGGACTAAAGTGGTATTTTTTTATTTTACAAGATCAGTCTAGATTTTAAACTTTGTAGCTAGATCAATGGAATATATATTTTTAGTTAAACCATAATGGAAAAGAACCCCACGGTTTCCTAAAAATGTATCAGAGACTTTAGCCTGTCTGCTTTGTACGTACCACTAGGAGAAACAATTACTGGCTGAAGAAGTCTTTGCTCTCCTCCTGGGGGTAAGTTCAGTACAATGACAAGTACTGTACCCAGCGTGGTCCCAACCCACAGGCATGGGGAAGGTGATGTATCAGCCTTTCTTGTGAAAGTCTCACAAAAATGAAGAGCTGAAATTGCCTCGCGTGACTCTTTATCAATGCTTGTTACACTAGAACTTCGGGATCGACTGAAAGAGTTGTCTTTGACATCTGAAAATAAATCAGTATTAATTAACAAGAATAGCAAAATGCAGGATTAAGAGAGTTCAACTGGTTTTTGTTCTCTAGCATTAAGAACTATCGTTCTATTGGATATTAATCAGGGATATTAATCCTGTATTCTTCTTTAGTATTTTTCCTTTTGGCACAGTTTTCAACACTGCATCCTGAGCAAAGCATCCCATTTTAATGCAGAGGTTGCCATTAGGTAATTATCATGAACAATTTTTATGCACGTTTCTGTCTTTTGGGAACCGAGATAACAGTCATCAAACAGGACTCCTTTAAAAAAATTTAATTATAAACCTCTCTGCCAATTAGTTCATTGACCAGATCAAAAAATACTGGCTTCCATGGAACACAGTTTACTAATGTCATGAAAATACAAATTTTACTTCGGGAACTGCAGTGACATCCAGACAGCGTGATAACATGCTGCCTGTAATGACTCACAGTAATGTTGTTCCACTTTAGGAAACCTTATGGAGAAGTTCTAACAGGCTATTTACACCCCCCAAAACTTTTAGCAAGAGTAACAACAAATACTACCAAATACCACCTGGTACTGGTAGGCGAAGCTGAGTATTTCCATTTTGAATGCTGTACCCAAGTGCCATAAATGGCACTAAAGCTTTTCAGGATGTCTTGCTCACTGCTTAGCAAATGAATTCTAATGCTAACAAAAGCTCAAAACAGTAAACATGCTGCTCCACTCTAGCTGTGCACTGCCTGTACGTGCAGTGATACCTAACAGCCAGCGTGTCTGAATTTATCTGTGCATTCACAAATTAATGCTTTACTTTCTCAATTCATTACTGCAAAATTAGACATTTAATTGGCATAGATGTAACTAGCATCTTTAAAACAGGATTAAGAGCTAAAGAGCAACATTCAATGACATACTTTTTGCAAGTGTTACTATGTTAGTTTCATTACATTATTGCAATACTTTCTACAAAGAACATCTAACATGCATTTGAAAAGCAAACATACTATATTTCAACTAACTAAATACAGACATCTACTCAACACAAACAGTGAATCTTCTTGGGACATAATTGTCTTATTCCAACAAGGATAGAAAAAATTATTGTCCTGTTGAATTTTAGCTGTTAAATGTAAAACATCGATTATAGAAATAAACTAACTTAACCAGTCAGATGTTGACATCCTTAGTTTTCATATTTAAAAACAATGAAGCCCAGAGTAAAACACTGAAAACATTTTTATGCTTTTTAAATTTTTCTAATGACCACCACCTCTTAAGATGCTTGGGGATTTTTAGGCTTGAATATTTACTAATTTTAAGCTTTTTTCAACTTTAACATGGATTAATCAGTCTGAACATAATCATACAGTAACTGCAATAAGTGTAACATTTAATGTGCATTTGTGAATTCAAGCTGGTTGAATAACATGAAGAGCATGTGTACAAATTCTGGAAGTGTCAGAATGGACAGGAAAAAACCCAATAAAATTTAACTTGCCAGACAATATGAACATGTTTGAGAGTGGACAATTCATTCAGAAGAGAGAACTGAGGGTAAGAAGTTCAACTGCTTTAGTGCATCTTATTTATCCTGAAGTCAAGGAGGAGTCTATGGTTTGTTAATGGATTAGTTTCAAGTGAAGAAGATGGAAGGACAGTGTGATGAACCACTAAACACCACTTCATCAAAAGGAAGGAAAGATGAGGATCTTTTGAGCAACTAAACCAAAGAACAGGACCAAGTGACAATAGATCTTAATCATTGGACTACAACATTGAAAAGCAATGGTATAATGCAGACTAGGGTACGTTCAAGATAGCTTCTGTTTTAGCAAGGGGAGAATGGACATAGAAGCACATACTTTTGATTTTGGTTTAGCTATTCAAGGAGGAAAAGTGGTAGGTTAAAGATATAAAGACAGAAAACTAATTTGAAAGAATGAGATCATGTAAGAATAGGTTTCAAGAAGCCATGGAAAGAAATGAGAGAAAATGGTAATGATAATGAATTTGGGAGAAAGGCATTTCAGCTGTCTCTTACAGCCAGGAGGTATGGCCACAAAAGTGACAAAAAGAAACACATGCATGCCAACAATCTTTGAAGAACACCACGCAAAAGCTACCCCACACGGAAAAAAGAGAAGTGAAAAAAGAAAAGATTACAAATGCTTAAGGAAGTTACTTACAGACCCGAAAACCTACAAGAATTTTACACAGAACAACATGAAGCATCTAAGTGCAGATATTCAGATGTGCAAAGTCAAAACTAGTCAAAGGCTTCAGAAGTTGAAGACTGTTTTTTGAGTATACCAGAAGTGAGGTGACAAAACTCCCCTCTCATTTCAGTAGAAAGAACAGCAAATGTTAAATGATGTAGAAAACAGTGTAACTCTTTCAGGATTGGAAAATGCTGAAAAAAAAATCAGCTTTCTCTTTTCTCCAGTCTTCATTAAAAAAAAAGTAACACTTCAAAGGACTTATTGCCATCAAAGAACTGGTGGTAAAACAGTTGAATTACAATTGGATAAAATTTAAGTACAAATGTGTTCCAGTTTGCAAAGTATGATAAAATTCCTGCTATAGCAAAATTATCCCTAAACCATTAGTAAACACAGTAAGGAAGAACAGAAACAGATTGAAAAGGGAAGTCAAATTCTTCTGCTTTTTACGAAAACAAGACCACAGTGAAATCCTTCTATTTCCAGGCACTGAGTTTAGAAAGATGAGGAAAAATTCCAATTCCAGAGGAGATTAACAGAAGCCATCCAAGGTTTAGACAACATAACCTAAAGAAGGAGGACCTGAATTATATAAAATAAAAAAAAAGCTGCTAAAATGAAATTAGAGATGACAGCTTTCAACAGCAAAAATAAAAAAAGGCTAACAAAGATAAGGAGCACTTGTTATCCCTGTTCATTGTGGAAAGGACAAGAAAAAGTTAATATAGAAGCAGGGAAATTTGACTAAATAACAGGAAAATTGTCTAATTATACTTTACATCATTGGAACGCTGTCTGGTATTTTTCTAAAAACTTATTTATCCAAGGCATATGAAGAGATCAGAGGGTAAATTGTAAAACATCTGTATCCTTGCCACAGAAATGGATTAAAAGATCTCTGAGGGTTCCTTCCAACTTCACATTTCTCTGAGTGGGGCAAGCTGTAATTGTAAAGCAGGGTGGTCCAGCTCAGTTTCAGAATATCCCAGTGCCATGAACTTCTTGATAGCAGCAGCAGCTGTCAAATACACAGTGCTACAGCTGCCAGTCTGATCCTAGTCTGTCTTCTGCTGGGCTTGTGGTAGCAATTCTGCTGCAGAAACGGGAGCAGGCTGTGGCAGGCAGAAGGCAGCTGCATCTACTGCTGTAGGTCTACAGCTGTCCCCCATCATCTTTAGAGAACAAGGCAGGGGAACTGGATATGATCTAGAAGCTGGCAGTCAGAATATTAAGAAAAATTATCTACTCATTTATAAGCTGTTTTAGTTATGCAATGCAATGACCTTTAGTACTACAGACTTCACAAATGAACTGCTTCTTATATAAAAAGTTACTGTGCTTTTTCAAGAAAAATTGAATTCTCAGACTGGTCATCCATCCAAACAGCTGTCTATTATTTTCATTTAGAGAGAGTGGTCACAAGACAATTAATATTTATAAAACTATGTCCAACTATTCGTTGACAGGACCTCAACATATCCTGTTATTTTTAAGATATTAAATCTTTCAATGTAAAATGTATCAGATGGTCCTAAACAGGCAGCAGTTTTCCCTATGTTACCTGCTTATTCATGCTTTTGCTATCACAGCACTACTGGTAAAGTGAGTGACAGATGCCTAAAAATTATGACGAAAATGTGATAAGCCATATACAGGAATTGCAGGCTTACCTTATGATGACAGCAATGACATTTTGTGCCTGAGAGTCCCCAAAAAGAGTGGAATTAAAATTTTAGTTCTATACTTCAGACAAATGCAACATAAAGCCATGATAGCTTACATAATTTAGGACTCTAATGTACTTGCATTCAGTTTTAGTAAAAATAAAATCAACTATGTAAACTTACCTAAATCAGGCTTTAACTCAGTTGGCAAACTTAGCTTCCTGGACATCTTTGCTGAAAAGTGAAGTATATCTTTCTTTTAAAAAGAATAAACATAATTCTGCTGGCCTTCATTTGCTTCTTTCTCAATATTTCATACACATTTTTTAATTACATTAATTGTGGTACTTAACATGATTTCTGCCAAAGCAGAGCCTCACTTCCATAAGCAAGCGGTGCAAAGTATACCATGGAAGACACCAAAATCCCTAAATACAGCATTTATGACTTTTGCTGAGCTTGATTTCTCCTTAGCCTTCAGGATGAGTTGGATGAATTTTGCTTTGGCTCAACCTCAAGTTTTAGCTCCTCTGGTAAGAGGACAGAATACAGACTCTTGGCTATTGCAAGGATGTGTACTGAAGCTGATATGAAGTTAAGATTCCATCCCCCTTTCCTATGCCCTACTTTCTGATCAAACCTGAAACATTTAAAATAGAAAAAAAAGATGAACTTTGAATTACACTAAAACATTAATGCACACGTGCAAAAAGCCAGTCATCGGAAATGCAATCTGCAACCTTAGAAGAATGGAGACATTACAGAGAATAATCACATAATCAGCACCATGCAAACACTTGCAACACCAAGACTCTATAATTTTGATAATACTGCTCAAGTGAAGAACAGCACTTTAACTCATCCCTGACTTGGAATTTTTTCTTTATAGAACAGAGATCTTGCAGTCCATTTAAACTGAAGTACAATACTAACAAATGCTGCTATGATAAACATCACAAGTAAACAAGTAGGCATATATCCCTCTTCCAGCTTTTTTTTCACCAGTTACTGGAGAAGGAATTATTTTTATGTAGCTCAACTACTAGACCAGGACTACACTCTGAATTTATTTCTCAGCCACATGCTTGAATGTTGATATATAATTTAATTCTTCACTATCTGGCAAGGGTAATACTTCTTTTCCTAAAGCAGATGTTGAGAATAGTCTCGTAATTCTAGGAGTACCTTGTAATGGATACCACTAATAAAGCAGATTGAATCTTGCTGCTTTTCTCTGTTAGATATGGAGTTAACTCATTCTAATTATCATTTGAACAGAAATCATTTCATTTCCTATGTACCCTGAAGAACAGCATGTGATTTAAAGTTACTTCCACTCCTTCAAAAACTGAAATACTTCACTCCATCATCAATTATGCTCATCAATTTTACAAACGCTAGTTATCTGAATAGTTGAACAGTTTTATTCTTGTCATACACCATAAAAATTTGAGAATAGGACTCCAGAAATAATCTTCTAATTTCCTTCATGTGTCAATATTAAAGTATGTTCAAATTAAATTGAAATTACTTACTCTCAGGCAGAAATGCTACTCACTTATTTTAGTGCAGGCTGAAACTGAAAAGGGCAGTCTGACTACATGTTTTCTACCATCATCCTTGCATTAGCACTGGCACATGCCTAGCTTAATGGAGAGTCCAAAACTCATCTAAATGAGGTTTCTGCCAAGGATTGTTTCCAAACAAGATGAACTCCTGTTTCAGACCAGAGCTCAGCTCTACAAACAGAAAATAATGGTTCAAAACAACACTAGTGACCAGGAGCCCATCTTTTTGCTGTCAGCTTGAATTTATATCAGCTAGCAAAGAGATCATGAAATCTCATCTGGAATAGTGAATTACAAGATAAGCATTCCTCATATGACTTGTTTTCTGTGTTAGACATTTAAATCATAAAAGCTGAGATATCGAACAAAACCTCAAGTACGCACACAGAAAATAACTGGAGTTATTTTTGGCTTTTAACAGCTTTTACCATGTGTGAATACCAGCAATGATTAATTAACTTAGTAACTGAAGACCAGAGAAGTAACTTTTGGCTTTTTGAATAAAACATTTAGCGCAATTTCAACAACTTGGAGAAAACTAACAAAAAGTTATGAGGTAACAAAAAATATAGCAGGTAATAAGTACAGGCAAGTGTGTTGGATTCTGAGAGCTGAACCACAGTTTTAGCTTTTTGTTGCTTAGTGAAAGTCCAGCTGTGTGAACTAGGTTGTTAAGATAAAACAAGTTTCTCAGACAATTTTCAACATACACTGAACTATGCATCATTAATGGGACAACGATGAATTGTTAAAAAAGATATCATTGCTGGAAATTGCAATTTACCGTGCTGTGAAAAAAACCCACATTTCAAAACATACATTAGTGCGTCAAAACCCACAATAATTCAAATGTAAGAAATAAGAACCTATTTAAGTAGCAATGGTGCCATCTTGTGTTTAAAGAGAAAACTGGCTAAACATGCAGTAAGAAAACAGGAACATTTTGCCAGCTAAGCTGTTTTTAACTAACATTACTCAGTGTAAAAAAAAAAAATCTGCTTATATGTATATTTGGCTTATGGTTTACAATAGTTTTGGTAAATTCAGTTTTACTATGCTGCAAATGAAAGCCAGCAACATGCCAGACACCTTGTACAAAGCAAAAGATACAAGTCAGAACAAAAGGAACACATGATGAACATCTACAGAGAGCATTCGGTGTCAGGCTTTTCACTCCGGTTGTACAGCAGGGCAGAGGTGATGCTGACTGCTCCTGCTGTGTGTGGCTGACCTCAAGCAGTAGCTGTCATATCAGAGTTCAATACCTCTCTTGCAGGTGGTAGTTGCCACAGCATTTACAGCCAAGACTACTCTTCTGCAACTGGTACAAGATAAGGACAGAGATCTGGGAGCTGGTTTGCTCCTCCTGGCACACGGCTGTGCAAGGCAACAGTGACTATTTTGCCTGTGTGTAGACAGACCTACATTTAATATTCCTCTAACTTGAAAAAACTAGAGTAACACACAGGCACACACATTCTTTCTGTTATATATCATTACTATCACATGAGAGAAATGTCCAAAAGCAAGGATTCCTGGAGATTTCTCATAGGTAAAGCTTGAGAAGGCAGGTGCTAAAATATGAAAGGTTGTCTTCGCATAGCATGTTATATGTCAGAATAGCAGGCTCAGTCTTCAACAATTCAATGAGGAAAATCTGAAGGCTGAGACATGACTGAACTATCAACAGAGTTACCCTAAGCTGGTTACTTCACAATGTATAGCACATCAGTATGAAAGCTACACACTAATTTCTCATCCATTCCTTATTCAAGGAAACAGTCTAAACCCTTTAAAATAAAATTCTAAAGACTATAAAGAAGACAAGCATGTTAGTGTTTTGACAGCCAAGAAAACAGTTTATAAAGCCTATTTCATATAGCATTATATGAGAAATAATTAAGCAGCTTAGAATTTGTTAGACATACCAAAGTTCCCAAATTATTCTATACTTGACAAGTACACAGAAGCAAAAAATTTACATTACCAATTTCAAGATACTTATAGAATTGAATATTGTACTGGAGACTGTAAAATGATAAACAGATTATCAATGCTGAGATCTCTAAATTTCATATGAGAATAATACAACCATTTTACAGGAGAATCTAAGAAAATACGGATACATCCAAATTTAGATTAAAGTATTAAAAGCACATTGGAAGACAGTTTTAATCTAGCATTAGGGCAAACGAGGACTTATTATGAGCATCTTAAGATTTGATCCCATGAAAACAGCAATAACTGTCAATTTTCTTGCAATGCTTGAAAAATTTAGGTGCCCACTTATAATGAAACAAATGTGAGAAACCTCAGTAACATGAAAGGTGATAAAAGACTGGAATTAAATGTACTCTGCTTAGCTCTACTATTACTGTTTGCAGTTGGTTTTAAATTTATAAACTGGAGTAGATCCATTTTCCAGAGAAGTATTTGATACGCAGACTACTAGAACAGTTATAAAGGTCTTAAAATCTACAGGATTTTGCAGGAACCTTTACTAAAGGTTTTTCCAGAAATGGTCCTTACAATACATGTTAACATCCAACCCAATTCACAGCTATGATATTTAATCACCTGTCTCTTCATGCCAAATAATGAACAAACCAAGGTATGAATAAAACAGTTGAAGTTTTGCTTTCACTGAAGTTGGATCACAATGTCTTTCTATTAAAATGACATGGCCTTAGAAATTACATACTTCCTACCAATTCTTCTTTCTGTAAATTCATCTACGTTTAGTACACTTCTACAAACTATTTCATAACATGTTGTTTATACTTTCTAACATTTCCCATTTCTAAGAGAATACGATGTGTCCAATAAAGGCCACAGTGTTTTCTAAAATTTCTAGGTAAATTCTAGATAACAACAGATTTGATTGAGATGT